CTTGATATTATCAGTTTTTAATTTCATTAAAAGACCTCTAATGGAGGTATCTCTTTTAACAGAAAAAAAGTAGCAGGAAACATTTTTTAGCACACTGAACTACTGCTGCAAGTTCAAACAAGCAAGACTTCTCTTTTCCTTCTAAAACCCATAAACAATTCAACAGGAAATTCCACTGACTCTACATTTAGAATATATCTAGAACCCGACCACTTCTTTCCATCTTCACGACTGTCTCCCTGATCTGACTCTATAACTCACCTGTATTACTGACTGCAACAGATCCTAACAGCTGTCTCTACCCTTGCCCCTGCCCTCGGCCGCAGGCACGCAGGCCTCCTTGCTGGTCCATGACATTCCCGGCACATCCCATCTGGTGTTGTCTGCTCTCTAACTGGTTCCCCATATACCTACCGGCCTAGCAACTCTGCTCCTTCAAGCCTTTGCTCCAACCTCATCTTCTCTATGAGGAAACCTGTGCTTTGCCTCCCTTGAACCTGATCTACTTTTTCTTTTCTCCATATTACCAATGACTTTCTAACATACTTTGTATTTACTTTTTTATTATGTTTATTATTTACAGACTGTTTCCCAACCTTGCCCAACCACTGCTACAAGATAAGTTTCATGACTGTATAAATCTTTTGTTTTATATATTGATGTACTCCAAGTACTCAGACCAGTGCCTGGGACATAGGAGGTATACAGTGAAGAGTTGCCGAATGAACTAACAATACTGGCTTTGGTGTTTAATGTAGCACCAATTGGGAGATCTATGTGAGGCCAGACTGATCAAAAGTAAAGCCAGGAGGAGAAAACAAAATTTCAAGCATTCATGTTGAAACCACAAGACTTAGTTTCTCTAAACATAAATCTATCTGGGCAGCATTTGCCTTCAGAATAACATTAAAAAATTAAAAAAAATATATAAAATATTAAAAAGCTCTCCTATTAGAGAAAATAAAATGAAACTAACCAGGTTTAAAAACATAAAAAGTGTCCTGGGACACCAGTTACCTAGGTTGTTTCTTTCTACAAACTCCATCTGTGTAAGATTGCCCCGGCTTGACTGCCAATTTTATTTTCTTAATCTAAGTTCTCTTCTCATTACCCTTCCATTTCTATTTTTTATCCTCAGGGAAAGAGAGAGCAGTTACTGCCAGGGCATTCTCACATCTTCCAAAGAAATGGCATAGGTGTTAATCTTGTATTTATGTTTGATGTGGGTAATGATGGCTATGACTGGAGCTGTAGGTTTATTAATATGCAGGGCTCTCACCTCATTAGTGGCGATGTATGTTTTGAAGTTAAGCTTCAATGTTTGCTGTAATGTCAGATCTGGCCTAACAGACTTTCTCACTGTTCATTTTCTTTGTTTTTACCCAGTCAGTACACACGATGCTTAGAGGGCTCACACGTAGGCTTTTCCTTAAAGGCAATTTTCCCACAGTAGTAAATATTGGTGGAAGTTTCAAACATTTTTAATAATATGTCCTTATGTGATCTTACATTTTATCTTAGAGGAAAGGTTTTCATAATTTTTGACCCAGCAGTACAAAGTATAATAAAACTCCTTGGCTCGATTTGAGAGTGGGGTATGTTTATTAACTGGATAATGATTAATTCAGTTATTATACAATAAAAACATTCCTAATTATTAGTATTTGACCATTTACAAAGTACTTTCACATATTTCATCTCAACCAACCAACTCTTAAAAAGAACAAAATAAACAATAGTAAAACCTTATCTAATATATTTGATGGTCCATTATGAATGACAACTGTTGTATTTCAATTCCTAAAAAAATTTCCAGTTGACATAATATATATCAAATAAACTAACCTGTACCAGGTTAAGTTGTTCCATGGAACAGGTGGTCTGTCACTGCTCGGTGCTCAGATTCATTCTATTCTACAGTCCTCACTGGATATAGGAAAGGCTTGATTTTCAGCAGCTTGTTTGGAAGTCATTAACTATGTTTTATAAATCCCACAATACACCATTTATATATATTTAACAGCTTAAAATACAGGAACACTGTATTCAAATGAAGCCATTTAAATGTGAAAAATAGGTTGTTCCCACTTCTCATTAGGTAACTGAATACATCTCCATTTCTTAGTCTTTTAAAATTTGTGTTCAGAAGTACAAGATAGGGGTTTGTAGGGGCAGCATTTGGTAAGGAAGAAAATGATGATCAGAGGAGAACACATGTGCTTAGACCGTGACTAAGGAGAAAGAGGCTTAGCTCTCCCACTAATACTGTTTCACCATCTTCCCTGCACTTGCTATCTTCTCACGGCGCCTGTACCAGGCTCCCCCTTCTGCAGGACACCTGTCTTTGATTTGACAATATGACACATATTCAGCTATAATTCCTGTCATCATTTATTTAGAGAAAGCAAAAATGAGTATATGTGCTTTTAAAAAGGTATAGCAATGAACTTATACAGCAAAAGTGTATAAACAAGTATATTACCTATTTAATTGCCTTAGCTGAACTTAAAAGCTCTGATCTTTAATTGCCTGATTGAACTGATCTAAAAAGCTACAATTTTTTAATCAAGGAGAAAATTAAATAGCTTTTTGGTAAATAAAAAGGCATCTTTAATCTTATTTTCATGGAATCCAAGTTATTAAATATGGACAAAACCTCTAAAATATTAAGTTAGGAACTACTTAATCTAGAGTAAATGCCTCTCTCATTACAATGCTTTAAAAAAGTTTTCAGGGACACCTGGTGTCTTCCACTCTTCAATAAAAACACATGCGTTTACATCCAGAAGGTAAAAGTTACCATGAATAACTAGAAAACTGAAAAGCTCAACATAGCGTATTATTTCTCTAGTTGAATACCCATAATTGCTGGGGAATAACTGCTCATCTGCACTGTAATTCATTACTCTTTCCATCTAGACAAATGCAACTGTACATTCACTCGCTGGTATTTATTTAAAACTAATATCCCTTGAGAGGGTTTGTTGGCCCACTACCACTACCCTCATTCAGTCCCTTGCACATATCCTCTTCCCAAAACTAGAGGCATTTTATAGTGGGTTACTCTCTGTGGGAATTGAGCTGGCCAGCACAGACTGATAAGAAAAGTACAGGCTCAGGATTCCTTTTTGAAACCTCTATGCCCAACGTCAAACCATTAAGGCCACCATAAGTCACTGATCAAATGCCCCTTTCTCAGCGCAAGCTGCATCCAGAGCTAGCTAGGAAGAAGGACCTCGCTGCCTGAGAGGTTCTGGTCAACACCACCTGACCACAGTGACTGTATGGTGGTTGTACTGGGAATCTGACCAACACCTTAGACTTTATTTTTAGATCCAGACACAAATCCATTTGAAACATGTCTATCAAGGTCTCTTTTCGAATGCAAATTTCAATCGTTTCCGTAAACCAAGAGTGAAACTAAAACCAACCAATTTAAACATAGGAAATACTACATAGAGGTATATCTATTTATCAGCATGATTTCTGATTAAAAAAATAATAAAGATAACTGCAGAAAAACTAAATAGCATTGCCCTATCCACTATAGCTCTTAGTGCTACCAAGGTTGCTCACAGAAGGATATAACTAGTGAGAATTCATTATAAGCCCAGAGTACAGGATGGTCCTAAGGGTCACTTTACTAATAACATTTGCATCTCCATGGCAAGGTTCTTTGAATGAAGGCTTTGCTATGGAGGTTTGATGACTTCCTTGAGCTCCTTTGTCAAATGGAGAGCAGATGTTCATAAAAATCAATAAAATGACAAGAATTGACCACTGTGTGAATCCCTATTAAAATAGTTATAAACCACTTTATGGGTTCGTGAGTGTGTGGATGTGGGAGTACAGGGGATAGAAGCAATGTAAGTCATATTGTGTTAAATACCATTTTTCTTAATCGTGGTGGTGAAAAATGCTCCATTTTTCTCTCACCCACCGGATGGTTACATGCTAATTATTTATACTCAGGAAGAGTAACACTTACTCTCCCTACATCTACATTTTGCACAAACTACAGTCTACAAATAGAGTGGACTGGCTTTAAAGAAAAATTTGGTTTATGATTCCATTTAGTCGGCATAAATACCTTCAAGAACTGAACCGATATTTTACTTGTCAAAATCGATATACCCTCTTGAAAAGAGGAAGGCGGGTTTAAAAAGGAACTGGAATCACTAGGATCTGAAAACCACCACCACAAAAAAACAACCCTTAGTGACAGATGTGATACTACAATTGAAGACATCAGTTGTTTTCTCTCTCTCATAGTTTATACCTTTTTTAAAAAAAAACTTTCCTTTAATCACATCTAATGTGTATGCTGTTGCATTCCCCAAATGTGCATAAAGCTAGGCTGAGCAGATGTGGAAAATTAAACAGTACTGTTAGTAACATTAGGCCCTGAAGTTGCTTTGTTATAGTCTGTTTCTCACTTAATAATTTATTCCAAATGAATTCAGACATTTTGGGAACATTAAAAAAATGCAAAGGAGGTTCCTTTTGCGACATTCAACAGTTATCTAATTATTCTTCTCATGTGTTCTGTTAATGAACTAGGAAACTAATTTCTGATGTTTCCACCAATTCCTTATTGAAAGCTTCCCTTTGAAGGTATGTGAAGCAGTCTCTTAGGAAAAGTGTATGATGACATCTGAAATGTTAATAAAAGGAATTGATGCAACTGTACAGAAGTGAAGGTTTTGCATTAAATAGAATTAAGAAAAAATAAGATCCTGTCATTTTCAAATACTATGCAATACCTTTTTACATGTTTGGTAAATATTACTCACAAAAACACAATACCAAGTTTATACTCTAAATCAGAGCAGTTGAGAGAGAAAATAAGAAACATTTATAAAGCCCCCATCTTTTTGACTACCAAATATATCAGCTGGATTAAAACATTATATCATTTATTTAGTTTAAAAATCAAGGGATCTGGAGAGCTATCCAGTCCTACCCCAAATTAAGTCAGAACTTGTAAGCTTAGTACATACCTCTGTGTAAAATCTTTAAACTCCACAAATAGGTGAGGCCTTTAACAACCTAAATTTAAGAAAGAGAAAACAGTACAATGAGGGTTTTTATAAGGAACTTTCCACATTTAAACATAATCGTGTCAACCATAATTCTTCCTTTAAAACTCTGTCAACCAGTAAGCATCTCCCATTTCTATGCCAGGTTCTGTGAGGACGCCAAATATATAAGCTTCAGGTTCCTTCGTTTAACGAACTTACAATGTTCTGAAGATAAGGTATGAGGAGTGAAAGGAATAAGTGTATGAGAATGTACACAAAATGACCTGGAAGTACATGTGCTAAATTCTTAGCAGTGGTGAGGGCAGGGAGAACAGAGACAGGAAAAAGGGACAAAGACCTTCATTTTTAAATTTTTCTATACTTCTGTATGTGAAAGTTTTTAAAAAGTCATGACATTTATGACCAAGGATAGACATTAAAAAAAATTAGCTAAAGAAGGCAATGGGTGGAAAAGAGATGGCTTTTTTGTAGTCAGGAAGGCTTTAGCAAGGTGCTGGGCCTTGAGTAACAGTCAACTCATGTGAAAAAGAGAAGTATTCAGGCCAATGGAAAGAATATACAGTAAAACCTTGGGTTGTGAGTAACTTGGTTTGCAAGTGTTCCACAAGACGACCAAACATTTCTAATGTATTTTAACTTGGTAAACGAGTGATGTCTTGCAATACAAGTAGTTTGTTTCCGGAACGAATTATGCTTGCAAACCAAGGTATTACTGTATAATGTGGGGGGACAGTGTACTCTTCAAAAATATCAAGGTCATCAAAAAAAAATATATATCAAGGTCATGAAAGACAAAGGAACACAGGGACACTGTTCTAGAGTAAGAAAGACTAAAAAGACATGACAACTAAATGCAATGCATAACCCTAGACCGGATGCTGAACCAGAAGTTGTTTTCTGTTGGTCTATAAGGGGATTATTGGACACTTGGCAAAATCTGAAAAAGGACTGTTGATTAGATATACTAATGTATGAATGTTAATTTCCTGATTTTGATCAGTATACAGTGATCATGTAGGAGAATGTCCTTCTTCTTAGGAAATATACACCTGAAGTAGTTAGGAATAAAGCATCATGATGTCCACAACTTATTCTCAATGTTTCAGAAAAAAAACATGTAGTATTTTCAATCTGTGATTGGGAATCCACGTGAAGGGCCAACTTAAGTTATACACAGATTTCTGAGCAGGTGGTTGGTGCCCCTAACCCCGTGTCGTTCAGGAGTCAACTGTGTATGTATTTTTAGCCAAATGTGGCTAACTGTGAACAACTGTAGAATCTCAGTGAAGCATCTGTGTATTAGTCTCAAAACTTTTCTGTAAGTTTAAAAAGAATTTTGGAATAAAATATTTTTATTTCCCCCCAAAATTTTCAATGATATTGGGGTAAGAAAGAACAAAGTATATGAACATAATGATCCTCTCAAGCTCGTCTGGCTGGTGCAGGCCTGTGTGTGGAATCGTGGGGGTATTATAATACTGAAAGGGCAAGTCAAGGAAGTAAAGTGAGAAGCTACAAACATCTAAACTAGATTTGGATTTCAGAATCTAACAGCCAGGAATAAGAAAAATTGGACAAATAAGATAGTGAAAAAAAGATGTGTCTAAGATCCTAAGTACATGGGTTATAAGAGCTACCATCTATGTTGGAAATTTAATCATTAAAACCTTTAAAAACCTTTATATAGAAATTGTTGTAAAAGGAGATGCATATATTTTTATGTACACCCATTGACTCTGATGCACATGAGTATGGACTTAACCAATTTCAAGGTTGACTATTCATAATTAGGTTATCAGATACAATGAACGAACCACTATCCCTCAAATTTACTGCAAGTTATAAAAATTTTTATAGTGTTATAGAAAATTTTACATAGGTCAGAACTATAGAATAAGAAAAGCTGCCATTATGAGAAGTAACTGAGTGAGTTACATATCTTGCAAATGATGAAAAGAGGACTGGGGGCTAAACATGGAGGGATTTTAGTTGATCAAGAAAAACTAAGAGTAATATTAAAAACAGAAATGCAAGGGGAGAAACCTAATTTCCAAATACGAAAGATCTAGAAGGAGATAAAATCTATATTAATTAATGCTGAGCAGAGGTTAACATATTTTAATTGTTCTCACAGAGTGGAATGTACTCCTGAAAGATCTGCTAACACAGTAGCATCAATTCCACAACATTTGTGTATTTTAAGAGAACAGAGTGCATTTTTATAGTAAATTATTTCTTCTGGGGTTTGGAATAAGTGACATTACAACAAAACATACATTTTCCAAACAGTAAGATAGTAAAAAAATATAAAAATAATAATAATAACTTTAACACAAACAGGAAATAGGACAAAAATATTTCCTTAAATGCGTATAAAAAATAATATCAATAATGTAAACAATTTTCTTTTTGAGTACTATGATAAGGTCATCTTATTTAGCATGGAAGTAATTATCTTCTGAGTTCTGAAAGTAGGGTTCAACTTCTCAACTTATAAGCTTAGTTGCATATTATAAAACCTTCCCATTAAAGATAGCACACCACTCAAAATTGGTCCCACAGGAAATAAACAATCAGAAAACACACAAGGGGAAGGCAAGCCATCACATTCAGAATATTAGGCAGAAAAAAAGTAAAACAAATACTGATTTCATGATACTTGCTAAAATTATATATTTTGTTAGAGATTCAAAAAAATCATCCTTCCAACTTTGTCAAAACAGACTACATTTTCTTTTATAAGCATATAAAAAGCAATATAGAGAAAGCCAGAAATCTGTTGACTGAAAAGCTAGAGGGTATTATTGGTATTCAGTAGGCTAGACTTCAGAACAATGACTTGACAAAGCCTTGACACTAAAAGTACTTATATCTACTGTCAATCACTCATTCCTTGACATGTCAAGTGCACATCCTTTCAGGGACTACTTCAATCAACATTAGCACTCAAAATACAGTACACAGTGTCACTGCTTCAGAAATGAGAGGAAAAATAAAATGTGTTGGATGGCAGGAAAGACAGAAAGACATTCCTCTTTACAGGAGACCAGATTCAAACAGAAAGTGGATAAAAATCACTGAGTAAGTTGGAAGGCTGAAATCAGCCAGTTTATATGGACTTTTTCTGGGAAAAATATTCTCTTGCCATACATCCTACAAGAGAAAATGTGAACTTATCACACAGGCTGATTGATGGGTCCACTGTGTAATGAACCTTGGATCTTTGGACCTGTGCTGCATGGCAGATTATTAGAACCTGGAAGGTAAAGTTAATTTGGGGAGGGAGAGATGCCTAGATGTGGCTCTAAGACATGAAAAGAATCTGAAGCGATTGTATGTGGGAGTCAAACAGCCCTGGGTTCAAATTATTACAGACTAGTTATATGAAAACTCAGGGTAAGTTATTTAACTTTTCTAAACCTCATCTTGCACATGTATAAAATTATGTATAATAATCTACACTTTACAGAGTTGCTGTAAGGTTGACAATATCTGTATGTAAGACATTGATCAACGACTGGCACAAGGAAGTATTCACTATACACCTCTTTCTCTCCTCTCTCCTGATTCTGTTGCTTCTGACTTGGCCATAGAGCTCCTGGGCTTTGTGGGTCTGAGAGAAATCAAGGGCATAATGCTGATGCTGTCTTCACAACACCAGGGGAGAGACAATCAAGGATACCGGGAACCCAGTCAGGCTGTGAGAACATCTACTACTCAAACCATGACTTACAAGCCATCCATTTGCTAGACTTATTTTGCCTGGTAGAATCTTTCCACTGGTGTTTGTCAGTTGCAACAAAGGACCATCCAAGTTTGTAATCTACTCAAATTACATTAAAAAATATACTGTGGGGGCATTACACAAGCTTAGGCTCAGCAGAGTTTATAAAAAGTGGCAGATGAAGAGCAAAATTATGAAAAGCATTTCTTCTACTCTGGCCACAGGCAGTTTTCATTACTATGACCTGATGAGCCATAAAAGCTGGAGAAATTGGACATATTCTAGAAAAAAAAAACACAAAACGCCCTAATTTTTAAAAATATAACGGCAAATGTAAACAATGCTTTGGGCTAGCACTTACTTTAAATGCCTTGCACTAAAATAATTTTTGTCATATTTTCAATTGTCCAATAGGTAAGCCCTTATTTGAAGCTGGATGATGATGACAATTATTATTTTTTTTCCTGACTCCATTCACTTCACATGCTTCCCACTCCAGAACTGAAAAAACCGGTGGCCTTGTGGGGACGCCCTACACAAGGAGGAGGCAAGATTTATGAAGTCCAGGAAGAACATGCTTCTCTACTGAAGGAGGCAGATTTCCTATTTTAGCCAAGTTCAATTGGTAATGAGTATACAGAACGCACATACTTTTTTCTTTTTCAATTGGTATCCTTGCCTTGTTTTTGCCCTTTATTATACGTGTTATTAAACTTTAGAGCCAAGAACTGCCAAAAGCCACAAAGCATTCATTCCCCTGAGATTAAAACAGGAAATGAAACATTTTTATTTTCATCTAAAATAGTGATTTAAGTACTCAAATTTCATACTAATCTACCTAAACTTGTACATTAGAAGCTCCTTAACAGCAATCGCATCAGAAAAGAAAAGTTCTCATCACCCTGGGCAGTTCACACTACTAATTAGAAAGAAAAAAGGAAAGCTGTGAATTACAATGGACCAAAACTAAATAAGTGTCCATGTTGGATTAAAGGATTTGAGTTGTCAGTTTGATGTATAATGAATGTGAAAATCAGCCATTTAATTAAATGGTACATGGTATAATCACTTTGTTCTGCATTAAACTGCTTAAGTTATCAGAGTGCCTTTAGTTTAGCAATTGTTTACTATTGCACCACCCCATGACTTCTCTTAGACACTGTTTAACCTATGTTATTCCAAATTTGAAATCTGGAGTTTATGTAGTAATTTAGTTTAGTTGATATAGTTCATCAGTTTATCAGTGAATATAGAAAATGAGAAAATTGCTTATAATCATAATGGAGTAAATCCTAGATGTAGTGGGTGAAAAAAAGTAAAACCCAATAACATAAAAAGTCTGCAAAAATCTTTAAGAATAACGTATTTTCTTATAGGCTGTTTTATTTTAATGATTTAGACTTTAGAAGTATTTTCTTTTTTCTTTTTTTTAAAAAATATTTTATTGGGGAATTGGGGAAGGGGAACAGACAAGTTGCTGTCCTTTTGTTCTTCAGTCTAGTTGTGGAGGACGTCGCTTCACTGGCCCATGTTG